ATCTTGGAAAAGATTGCTTGGTCATAAGTTAATTTACAAATTGTGTCTCCGATACCGTAATTTCTCGCGTGATGTCGCGCATTGCGAAAAACGGATCGTAAGAGCTAATAAAAAATTTCTGACGTCAATCTGCGCGAATCTGGGTGCGCAAAATCGCGGCGGCCGCCAAATCGAAATGGATTTTTTCCACCATGTACTCATAGTACACTACGGACTTATCCGGCATTCAATGTCGTTGATCAGTCTGTGACCTTAAACGAAGCCGGGATGTCGATTCGTTCGTGCGGTTTGCGTGTTTTTGTTTTTCTCGCGAATTCTATACTGTGTTTCAGGTGCTTCTCGAACGATGCTCTCTCTGTAAATCCGTTTACAGAGAGAAACAACGTGTAAATAATAGCATCAACAACGTGAATCGTGGGAAAAACAGTATGCGAACGATGTTGAAAACATTTTACCGAAAATGATTTTTAAAATAAAATGTGAACTGTTTGTGGCTTGTTAAAATCGTCTAATAGTTGCGTGTAATCGCAACACGCGTGTAATTCAGTGCATTTGTGTGAAAAGTTTGCGATTAGTAACGCGCGTTTTAACGTTTAAATTATTTTATTTGCAGAAATTTTTTACTTGATTCAATTGACAACGTTTCTCACACACCAATTTAGCTCGACGTTGTTTGTTCTCATTTAACATTGCTCTTAATTGACTTTAACTCTAATACATAATATAGTTTAATTTGAATCATGTAAGTCGAATCACACATTTCCGCAAAGTCGCTCTGAAGAAAATCGGCTCCTGCTGACAATTTGACACTCTACACGCTCGTGTTCGTGACAATGGGTGAAGAATCTCTTCGATTAAATTCGACATAATTGGTACATGTTGAGAAACGTAGACGAATTGAACATAATACGAAAATATGCGCTCAAGATGAAAGTTTATAGAATTTTCTCTGTGAGTAGTTGAAAATAAAATGGCACAACTTTTGTTCGACACACTTGTGTATAATTCTCAGATATAAATACAAATTTAACATATACAATGCAAATTAATATTGTATAAAATACAAGTGCGTTAAATCACATTACACGTCATTGGATTTGTCGGATGGATGTGTTTGTACATATGTGACTTTCATTTTATAACGAAAGAGAAAACGTTCCACGTGTTGAATTTTGTAACGTATATTGCTCGCAAAAAATTGACTATATATTATTCAAAAAAATGTTTATTTTCGTGTATCCGGAAACGCTCGTTTTTACTTCCCCAACGTGACTGACCGGTACAAATGGAATTCTTTATTCTCGATGAAGAGAAATACTTTTACTTGTTCGCACTCTCAGTTTCAAGATGCGCCTTAACGGGTACGACAGTAATTGTGCGCGACGGAATTCATGTTTGTGTTGTTTACGCAGCACATTTGCGGTCTGCACTGAACTGATCAGATGAAACATTTAATCCGACATAAATCTTCCGCTTTAATTTTTGCAGCATTTAATTTCATCGAATTTAGAGCATCTTATTATTTTTGTTTCGCGTATCTTATCGGAATTTTTACAGCAATCGCTTGACGCAAGCGTTTTCGAAACATATTCGTTGGAAGAACACTATCGAAAACAAAACGCAGATTTTGCAACAAATTATTAAGCGCCTTTTACCTTCATCAACACGTTGTCTAGAGTAAATATATTCTCAAGTAATTTTTCTTAGAGGAAATAATAATACTCTTAACGTTCAATTCAATTGTTCAAGATTTATCGAGGACTTATAAATTTTCCAATATAAATTTTTATTTTCCTATTTTATTGTTTGCGTTTTCGATGTGGCATCGTTGAGCGTTAACATGTTTCACGTGAGTATAACAGATTCAACACTTTTAACACACACACACTCACATGTAAATACTAAATTAATATATACATATCGTTATAAATAATTAAATTTTTACACGTTATTATTTCTGTCGATTAGTTTTTTCTGGTTCAGTCACGACGAACAACACGTTTGAAGCCATTTCGACCGGTTTATACGTATACACTCACTTTTGTTACGTATTCTGAATGAACTATTTCGGGCAGGAGGTAATTAACCAAAGCGAGTGCTTTTTTCAACATGTGTGAGTGTAATTATATTTTTTTAAAAGATATACTGTTGTGTATTTAAAGCTTCTTACGTTTCTGACTTTTTGATAGAAAAAAGATTATTTGAACTTTTTATCCTAGACGTGACTAAACAACTTACGTAAAGTTTGGAAAATTGTGTTGTAATCTGTGACGTATTAATATATTAAGTACAGCACGCGGTGATACACAGCGCCATTGCACGCATTAAAATTACTGATAACGTTACAACGAAGCATGAGGACTATATAGCCAGCTTGTCGTCGGCGATTTATTTCCTGGCATCTTTAGAAGGCTTCGCTACGGTATCGTTACAGATGTCACAAAATAAGAATTTTTACTGTACACTTTTCAATCATAACAATAACACAACAGGATATAAAGTCGAATGTAAAATTGGATTTCAGCTCATCAGTATGGCCTTGTCTCTTATTGTACGGTTACTCGGTTCGCACATAATTGTGCGATGCAATTTTATCATCGCAGTACAAAGTTGTTTGAAAGTGTGAGTACAGTAGCCATTATTAACGATGACAAAACTTAGATTACTTGAGACTCAAATGAGAAATAAAAATCACAAATATGGTAAACGGCATCATGTATAATTTTTTGTGTAAAACTCTTTTTACTATACTTGTAATGTAACCTTGCGTTCACAATAATAAGACCGCGGTTACCCAGATGACAATCGCAGATTCTCCGAAGAACGATCCGTCTCATGTAATGTCTGAAAAAGCACTAGAGCGTAACAGGACGCGGAGTTTTATTGCGCTTGCGTATCCCCAAGTCTTGCGTATTGCGTGAACATGCACATCTGCTGTGTATCACTCACGCGTGTTGTAGAAATAATTTCAAATAATTTTTACGTCGCATTTCTGGAACATAGAATTTATTTAATCGAAACGCATCTTCCACTTTTGTTTGATTGTTCTGTTACCGCGGAACTCCCTCGTTTTTATTACGCGTATATACACGGAATTTAGAGACTATTCGTACAATTATGGTCAATAACAACGATCATTACGTAAACATGAGAATGTAACAAATGGAACGAAGACATTGTCACAAGATAAAAAAATGCGAGATGTGAGGAAAGAGAAAATTACCTCACACGCAGATGCGTTTCGTTTCCGAGCGAGAATGGATATATACGACGATCGATTCTACGGGTTTATGCGCCGATTGATGATCTCTGTCGGTTTATGGCCTGATCAAAATCCAAGACACAGAAAACTTATGTGTGTGATAATATCAACCATTCATACGATTGGTATAATAATGCAGGTAACAACGTTCGTTGACACGCACGTTGTGCTTTGCGCAACATTTATCATAAAAGTAAAATATTAAAAATTCTAGAAAAAACACTATATAGAATTACTATCAGTAGAGTTCTTGCTTGTGTGCACAGGAATAATGTCGTTACATTACAATCGTTTACAGTACATGACCTTTCTCACGCATCAGTTCAGCGCAAGATTATTTATCGATATGATGTCTTTCAATGGTCTGATGTTTATCTACTTGTTGAAGTATCATACGATTTATATCAATTCCACGAACGTAAGTTAAATATTTACAATTCTAATGTGACACTTGCTTATACGCGTTTTTTCTCATTTCGACTAATAGTATGCGCGCAATATGCGTACGCAATATATTTGTTACAACGTCTAGTATTCGTTGATTACAAGCTAAATATTTTTTTCTTTTTATTGATAATTATTTTGTCGCAGGTGAAATCGTTATTCGAACAAATTAATTGCGACTGTGTTGCGATAACGGATAGCCGAGAGATGGAGATAATACAGAAGTACGCTTCTCGAGGACGACATTACACCGTTGTTTCCGGATGTTAGTAAAACAGCGCTGCGTTTCGACAAACCTGCGTTTTTTTGTACTTGACAGTTGTTCAATTTAATGTGAAATACTCACATAAGCGAAACAAATACTTGTACAATGTGCAGAAAATTCATCCGCAAATCGCTGTCTGCATTATTCCAGTGATTGTTTACATGAGCATATTTTCCATCTTCGGAGCCTTATTTATACCAGATATTCTTGACATCGTGATGCCGTTGGACGAGCCTCGTCTTCGCACTTTACCTACGCCCGTAGAATGCTTTTTCGATCAGCAAAAATATTTTTACGTGATTGTATCTAACATCTTTGTGATAGCTATGGCAGGCGCAACCACGGTGATGGCGACCGAAACGATGTTTATGGTGATGATACAGCACACCTGCGGATTGTTAGCAATTGCAAGGTACAAAAATTTAAATAATCTAGTGCTGTAAAGCTGTAAGCTACGCTTTCTACAAACACATTTAGCACTTTGGTAGAAGATCACTTAGAAAAAAAATGAAATTTTGAGTGAAGCGTATTTTCGTTGGGGTAAGCAATTATTTTTTTGACAAACCAACATTGGGGATATTTATAATAAGAACAAGGGAGGTCAAATTGAATCAAACACAAATGGATATATTTAGATAACAGTAATCACATATGTGCAGAAATATTAAAATTGCAAAACGTCTCGAGTTCTCATTCGCGATCGACTTACATATAAAAATAAGAAAATATAAAAAATAGGAAACTTAAAGTGTGTAGATGCAAAGTTAATTAAAGTTTATCATAGGATATAGGAAATATTTAAATTTTAGTTATCAAATAAGTCGCGCGTTTGATGATTGCAACAACACATCTGTTGTCAAACGGACCTTGTTGCACGCCATAAAATACCACGTACGATCTTTACGGTACGCAACTATGTTATCTATTTGTTTAATTCATTATGTTTCATCTGAATTGTTTACATGATGTTTGATTTGATGTATTTTGTCACTACAATTGGTTATATCTGTGATATTAAAGAATCGTAGAGCTTTTCACCTCGTATTTTGCTGTATCTTATTCGATCGTCGCGATACTTGGTGTCATGTCATTGACCGTTAATATGGTACGAGTAAGTAGTGCTCGTTTTTTTATTTTGAACAACGTATGTTTCCGCACTTTTACGTTCGTACATTTAGCTCAGGATACTAAGTTCCGGTTTGATTTTTCAGCTGTTTCAAGCGATCGAAGATAACGTGATCGGCGAGATAATTGCCTCCGCTATATACGTTTTAACTCATTTTGGCTATGTGTTTTGGGTGGCGTATTTTGGACAGGATCTATCTGATCATAGCGAAAGTTTGTTTGAAGTAACGTGAGTATACGCGATTGTGTGTTCAGAAAATAACGTGTAATGTTTCAAAAGAGTCAATCAAAACAAACAAAAAATATTTTTTATTTTCTTTGTATATTCAGAACAATAAGAAAAATAACGTACGTGTAAACTTGGAATTTCTTTGTAGATTTTCTTCGCAGTGGTACACAGCTCCGGTGGACATTCAAAAATTGTTAATTTTCCCATTGCAAATATCATCGAGAACTTGTGCTTTCAAAGTATTCGGTGGCCTAATAATAGCATCGATGAAAGGATTTGCTTCGGTAGCAGTTTTTTTACCTTACTTTTGTTTCGGTATAGTGCTGAAAGACACGCGTGTGTAACTGAAATTTATTCTTGTAGTTGATTAGTCTGTCAGTGTCTTATTTTACGGTGTTATGCTCCATGTAATCGTAACGCGATCAATACGAAGAAGAAGTGGTAGGAACATGCGGAGAAATTTTTTAAATTGTGTGGTGTTAATAAAAGAATTGATCTACGTTGTCTATCTGTGTGGTAATGTCAATTTATAGTATTTTTTACACGTCTGAATATTTTGAATGTTCAGATAGAAGAGAAATAAGGAAAATATTGATTGCGACAAGTATTGCAATTTTGTTTCAAGTGACGACGTATATGATCGTCGTTTTACACGTTCACAACAGAAAGTTGTTCCTACGAAACTATCTAATATATGTTCACACCGTAGTTAAAGAATAGACTCACGCGAATTTTTGACGAATGTTTCGTAGCTGTTTGCACGCGAGATTCTCGCGCGATGTCCTATTATATTATCTTGCTCTAGAGATGTACGCGCGCAATGAGTGTTAAGATTCCGTGAATATACTTCGCTTGCTCGAGAAGCCGCTAAAAGTCGTAAACAAGAAAGCACCACGAGCGTGTGTAGTAGTCAACTGGCGTGGTACTCGGATTATGCGCCTGCGCCTCTAGTCCTAGAGACGTAACAAAATTTGCGGCAGTTATTTGCCAAAGAAAAACGCCAGATGCGCGCGATCCGCCAACAATTTACTTAATTATCTTATTTGTGCTATTTCACGCGCGTTTTATCTTCATAGGAAAATGTTTTTATTTTTTTTTTTTTGTCGCGCCGCAAAATAACGTTATGCATAATGAAACAAGCGTAATTGAACCGTTTTTTTTTCTCTCCGCGCTTCGTGATCGGGAACGCATGCATTTCGCAGTTGCGCATCAGAAATGAACTTCGCCGGTAGTCAATATTACACGCTCAATCGCGTGATGCTGTCGTCCATCGGACTGTGGCCGTACCAGAACGTGTGGTTCGTCAGAATTCTTAGACTCATTTGCTTACTATTCTGCGTTTCTCTCATAATAGTTCAGGTATCGTAAAACACGAAGTTTTTTTTTACCGAGTCGAAAATAATAATAATTCGAAATGTTGTACCGTGCTGTGTTATTTTTGTACTATTTGGTTACGTTATATACATCGTTATGTACAATCACGTCTTGCATTGAGCAACTTTTCAGTTACTCACGTTCACCACGTTCGAGTACAGTTTGGATCTTCTGCTCGAGGTTCTGTCGTACACGATTCCCACTTGCATTGTCATTCTCAAGTACGTTGCGTATTGGTTGAAGATCGAATCGGTAAGTCGTCCCTGACTCGCGTCGATGATGTCAACGATGACAACGCGCAATGCGATCGATATTTTTGTCGTAGTTAAAGGAATTATTGGAGACGATCAAGTACGACTGGAATACAAAATTTTGTTGGAGAACAAAACGGAGCACGCGATAATCGAGAAATACACTTACATGGGAGCATTTTACGCACAACTGTTCGCACGTAAGTAAGAATGCCAATGGCTATCGCTATCGTGCGCACGTACTGTCCTCCTTAGTTAAAATATTTTACTTAGCATATCGAAAGAATCGAAAAAAGGTTTATTCTTTTGTTTGTGCCATCGGCAATTAGGACAACTAAGTTAAACAGTTTCTAGACATCTATAAAACCTTTAGAAATTTCTAGCTTCATTTAGAAGATAGAACATGCGTAGAACTTACAATACTGCAATATATCTTGAAAAATGCAAAAATGCGAGACAGGACATTTTAACTAAGAACAACAGTATAGTCATTACCCAATAGTCATTACCGTTTAATTACAGTAAACGCTTACATCTTTCCGTTGTTGTTCACCTTGATACATCTTACACCGAACTTCCTCGATCTGGTCGCGCCGCTGAACCAGTCCCGGACGCATCAGTTGATTATTTTGACCGAGTATCTCGTTGACAGCGAGAAATATTTCTACTTCATTCTCTTGCATGTTGCCGTAACTCTTTTCTTTATGATGTCCACGCTAATGTCCACCACGTCCATATACGTGGCTTACATACAGCACGCGTGCGGAATGTTCGAAATAGCCTGGTGAGAAGAAGATTTAATTAATTTTAATTGCGATTAATTTAATTGCGATACACAGAGAAATTGCACGTTTACAGAAAAATTGTCGTATTCAACAGATACATTTTTAAATTGTTATATTGGTGCAAATGCGCTCACGATATTTTTAAATTTTTTTATTAAAACTAATAATCAATAGCGTTTGATATCGAATTTTTTTTTCTTTTTTTCGTCATAAAATAATATCTGGTTTCTAGTTATCGCATCGAACGCGCTTTGGATAATTACGACAAAGGAAATTCGACTTCCGGGAAATGTTGCTCAGCTTGCAGCAGAATAATTGACGCCATTGATGTTCACAAACGAGCCATCGAGTCGGTATTTTCTCATCGCATAATTCAGGATTTAAATATCGTTCATACATTTCTTCAGTTTTAAGCATCGTCGCGTTTTGACGATTTTCTCGCACTTTGTCGTGAATCCGTTCATTTATTTTTGTCTCCCAGAATTGTGCCAAAAAGCACAACATTCTCAAGTGACTCATGTGACACGTAATCTTTTTATTGTTAAAGGTTTTTTGAGTTTCTGAAGAATACCTTTGTAATTATGTATTTTATTCTACTTCTCTGCGGCGTTGCGTCTTTGACAATTAGTTTGTGTCGCGTGAGTAAATAAGATAATTATTTTTCTATCGGAAGTGTTGTATCTGTGTCATTGATATATTAACACACATAAATGCGATCGTTATTTTAGGCGGTAATCGTAGAGGAACTTTCTGAAACTGCCATGGCCGTGATGCACGTATTCACTCATCTGTTTTATTTTTTTATCGTCAATTATTCGGGGCAAAAGATTTTGGATCATAGCAGTAAATTTTTTTTGAAAGCGTAAGTTGACGAAGATCAATTCGATAATGTTAATCAAGTCGAGAGAAGAATTTTCCCCGTTGAATAAAACTAATAATTAACGTTTAATATCAAAAACGAAGACGCGAGCCGATTAATAGGCTTTCGGTCGATAAGCGCTACGTGGCGAACCGTTTACTTTTAATTTTTAGGATATAGACAATGTTAATATTTTTAGATATTATTCCAAGTGGCACGTGATGCCGTTGCACGTGCAGAAATTAATAATGTTCATACTACAAAGAGGTACGAAAAATTGTATGCTACTGATAGGTGGTTTGTACATCGTGTCGCTCGAAGGTTTCGCGATGGTAATCATTTTCGTTTCTTTACCGTGTACGACAACGCTTTCGACACACACGTGTTCATTTTCTATGCGGACGTCGTTCTTATTCCAGGGTATGAGCACATCCGTGTCCTACTTTATGGTGATTTATTCAACACGATGACGTCGCGAACGTGAATTCCTTACAATCAGTATTACGCGAGGGGATGAAATTTCAGTTTACCGACCCTCGGACGCTTGAATATCTTTGTTTTTGTAACATCTCACAGAAATTGTAAATGCGCATCACATTACAAAAAAAAATATATAAAATTGTGTCGTAAGTAACTTCGTAAACTTAGCCGAGTTTAATGCGAAAAAAATTCGACGAATTTCCTGCCGAATTGAAACAAGAATTAGTGATAATGATAAAAAATAAAATTTAATTAAAACTTTGGCAATGGAAAAAAATATATTTATTAAAACAAGAATATTGCTAAAACATTCACGAAAACTTGACAGAGAAAAAGCGATGGTTGTTTATGTTATGCAATCTGGACAATTTGCATGCCAATTTGACCGCGACCAATCCTGCATTAATTAGTCATAATTTGAAACTCCAATACACACGTAATATTTTAGTTATTGTTTTTATTTTTATTTTTATTTTTTTTTTAAAATCAAAGAACACACTGTGCAGTTTCGCGAATAAAGTTACGAAACGTCACGTACCGCACACGAATTGCTACTAACGGATGGTCTGAATCGAATGAAGTGAAAGCACAACTGCGCTTGCGTAGCGCATACACACGCGAAATAGAAAAGTGCTTCTTCGATGAAAGTCAACGACGCTTACGGTAAAGTGTCGCGCAATTTACGTAATTGCCGCCATCGGCGACTTTTCTCATCGAGTTGCCACTGTAACTCCCTAATTTTTTTCCATACACGAATATAAATAAGTTAAAGCGAAGTTTGCGAGAAAGATATTATCATAATGTGTGAAACTACAGACGGAAATTTTGCAAACGAAAAATAAATAAAGAAATAATAATGCGAAGGGTGAATGAGAGAGATGGAGCAAAGATGTTCGAGACACTTCTCGAGGGCAGACGCGCGACAAAACTTCGAAGAGCAAAATGGAATATCTTGGACGTCGATATTACAATCTGACTCGAATCTTCACATTGTCGGTCGGCCTGTGGCCGTTCAACGATTCACTCGCGAAGCCGATACAAGCCTTTTTTTGTTTTATTTTGCTGTTATCCTCGATAGTCGTTCAGGTATAACAAAGCAGCGCTTTAAAAATATTATAATTATTATTATATTAATAATTCTATGTAAGAAAAAACTCGTGCTACTCGTGTAGCAACAAAAATTTATTTGACAACAGCTTTCGATGTTCTGTTTGATTATCGGAAGAAAGGAAAGGTCGTCGATATATAGACAATTTTTCACAGGTGATGAGATTGTTTACAATGGAATACGATCCTCTACTCATGATGACCGACGTGTCGTACATTCTACCTTACACGATTTATCTCTTAAAATATAATACGTTATACCTAAATGCCCGAAAGGTAAAGCGCGCGCAACTTATGTTTCTCTCGATAATTATTCTCGGGCGTTAATGCACTTAATGTTCGCGCGCGTGTGTGTGTGTGTATGTGTGATTTTTGTTAAATTTTGTTAAATTTAATTGTACTACATGAAACATAGATTAAAAATTATATCGCAGTCATTGAGGACAACTGGAACAAATTGAAAGACGAACGGGAAGTGGAGATAGTGCGGAAGCACGCGAACGACGGAAAAAAATTCATGTATTTCTTTGCGGGTAAAAACAGATCGTGTTAAAAATACACATAAATTAACCCGAGGATTGTTTTTATTAAATAAATGGGTTTTAAAA